CAGCACCCTCGTTTTCTTGTTTCTGTTGCTTCTTTAGTGCAGCTTCAGCAGCAAGTGCAGCTATACCTAAAGTCGGTCGCATTAGATTTGCCTTTCCTGTGGATTCTTTCTCATTAGATGAATCGTCATCGTCTTCCATATCCTGTACCTTCTTGATTTCATCCGCGAGAAGATTTATTCCTGCTCTTGGAGACTTTTTCAATGCAGCTTGAGCAGCAAGTGCAGCGATACCTAGAGTCGGTCGCTTTGGAGTTTCCTCTCCTGTAGATTCTTTCTCTGTAGATAAATCGTCAATGTCTTCCATCTCTTGTGCTATCTTGATTTGATCTGCGAGAAAATTAATTCCTGCTCTTGGAGACTCATTCACTACTGCTTCAGCAGCAATATCTCCTTCTGGTACCTTTGGAACGTCATTCTCGTTTTCTTGTTTCTGTTGCTTCTTTAGTGCAGTTTCAGCAGCAAGTGCAGCAATACCTCGTACCGGTGGGTGTGGATCCTCCTTGTTTTCTTGCTTTTGTGACTTTTTCGATGCAGCTTCAGTTGCAAGAGCAGCCAATCCTCCCGCTGATCCCGCTGAAGGCTTGGTGATGCCCTCTTTGTTTTCTTGTTTCTGTGACTTTTTCAATGCCGCTTGGGCAGCAAGCGCTGCAATACCTAATATAGGAGGTTTGGGAGCATCCTCGTTAGCACTAGCGTTCTTTGATTTTCCCGATGCAACTTCGACAGGAAGTGCATCGATTTCTCCAACTGATTGCTTCGAAGTATCCTCCTCCTGTTTATCAGATTTTTTCAAAGCAGCTTCAGCAGCAAGTGTAGCAATACCTACTACAGGTTGCTTCGGAGTGTCCTCCTCCTTTTTMTCAGATTTTTTCAAWGCRGCTTCAGCAGCAAGTGYAGCRATACCYACTACRGGTTGCTTCGGARTGTCCTCCTSCTTTTTCTCAGATTTTTTCAATGCGGCTTCAGCAGCAAGTGCAGCGATACCCACTACGGGTKGCTTTTGAGCCCCATGCTCGCTTTCTTGCTTTTGTGACTTCTTCAGCGCAGCTTCAGCAGCAATTGCAGCGATTCCTCCCACTGGTAGCTTGGGTAAACAACTCTTGATATCGTGCTTCTGTGACTTTCTCAACGCAGCTTGGGCTGCAAGTGCACCGATTCCTCCTACTGATTCTGAGTTGACTGAGTGGTTGGTACTTGAAATGACTGGGCTATTCGATGCGTCGATTCGACAATGATTCATTTTCTTTAATCCCA